AAGCGCCGATGCAGCCGTTCGAAAAGCTCAATTCCAGCAGCCAAACTAACCAACTAAACCAAAAATAGTTGGGCTCTTGGGTAACGCCAGCTCAATTTTTTCACTTCACTCATTCACACACGTATGTGTGTGTGTGTGTGTGTGTATGTGTGTGTGTGCTACGGTTTGTAGTAATAAAATTAATGTTGGTGATTTATTTTACGCCCTCGTGCGTTATTTTCGGTTAGTTCCTGTAGCGGCGTTTGCCTAACCAGAATGCAAATTGTAGCTTTGTATGTGTGGGAATGGGTGTGTGTATGTATGTAAGAATAGTTACTAGTAGTGGTGGTATTGAATGCTGCCCATAAAAAGGGATAATGTGGTGAATTTGAAACGGATGCTGTTGCCACATGGCCGTGGCGCTACATAGAGATAACTGTAGAAGAATTTAGCTTTGAATGGCATTTATATGTATATAATACATCTATTTTTGGCCATTGTGCCACCATTGTAAATACGTAAGTTCGTGTGTATACTTACAGGAAAATATGCATACAGTTTAGTGGTTATCGACAGCTCATGTCATAAGCTATAAGCGTATGCAGTGCTTCATTATAGGCGCATGAGTATTTACATACATACATATATGCATATATGCATATGTACATGTGTAAGTATGTAAGGCATGATATTTTTCGCTATTTTAATAGGAAATTCTGTAATTTGATGGTTGTTAGGCGCGCGAAGCCATTGAGTTAGATAAATAGCTGGTTGCTCGATGGAGGCTCAGAGTGCATATGCACAAACGAGGGGATTAACAAAAGTTCGGGGAGTTGGTGACTTTCAATTTATTTTTGTTAGATCTAGATATACCGAATCCTTTCCAATTACTTTGTTAGTCCTCCATTCAAATTTGAGAACGGTCGTCTAAGCTGGAGACGAGAGAACGCAAGTTAGCTGAGCATAGGTCAGACGAAATTCCAACAACAACACAGGCAGAAGTTCGCCTTGTGACTCACTTCGGTTTTCGGCGTAACTTGCAGCCAATACAAATACTCAGTGAATGCCAAATTGCTTATAGAACGATTGCACTGTCTCTAAAAGCTATTTCTAAGTGGTTCCGAAGATTTCAGACTGGACATTTTTGCAAAGAGCACGAGCCCGGAGAAGGTTGACCAAAAATTTCCACTGCCAACGTCACTGTAGCTCTGCTGAAGTCCAAATTAAACGATGAACCACAATTGATACAAGAAATGATTGCTTATAAATTGGGCTGCATCGCGAATATTCAGCAATCAACAAGGATGCACGAAGAAATCTGCTCGTTGGGTACCATGAATTTTAAATGAGACACAAAAAGAGGTTTGAGTAAATTTTGCTAAATTTTTCCTTAATAAATTCGAAGATGGTCAGTCGAGCAACTTTAGTAAAGTCGTTACTAGTGACGAATGTTGATTCTATAAGTACGACCCAGAAACCAAACAGCAGTCCATGGTATGGAGCCCAACAGGAGCAAACCCACCTGGAAAATCTAAGCAACAAAAATCAGCAGCAAAAGCAATGAGGTCAGTTTACTTCACCCGATCTGAAATCTTGGCAGATACTCCACTGAAAAAGGGTTAGAGGGTTACTGAGAAATGGTACACCGAAAAGTTTGGAAAACAGGCAGAAAGACGATTTGCGGCGCTACTTTTTACATCACGACAACGCGCCATCCCAAAACGCTGAAATAACGAGTAATTTTATTGCGATCTCTGGGACTGAAGAAATACGAAACATATTCCCCGGATATAGCAACTTGCGATTTCTGGGTATTTCCAAAGATTAGAAAAAAAATTTAAAATGAAGAGTCTTTAATAGCAACGAGAAGGAAATAATAAATGCGGTTAATGCTGAACTTGATAAGCTTAAAAAGCAGGATTTTGAAGACTGTTTTCAGAAGTGGATCTCTAGGCTTAAGAAATGCATTGTAGCCAATGGCGATTATGTAGTGAAGTTAAAAAAGTACAAAGATTACGAATAAATACAAAAACGATTTCTTTGTTATTTCATTTTCTGGTAAAATTACCGAACGTTTGCTAATCCCTTCGTACATATTATATATGTATATTTGGATGTGTGATACTAATTTGATGACTTTGGACACATTATCTGTTTGTTATTACAATGAAATGGAAAATTCAGTACCTAAATATTTTTAAGAGTAGTTCAAAATTTTGATAAGTAAACTCAAAACATATAATTAATTCTTATTTATTAATAGTTTAAGCGACATTTCTTTTGTTTTATTGTATGGTGTATGCATTAATTCGTGCGGTTTTTGCGAAAATTAAAACTTTTTCGACGGAAAAAAATGATTTTTATCGTCTGGAGACGGTTGCTGGATCAACTCCTAATACTTTTGCCAGTTCTTCTTGCGTCTGGCATGCATCTGCGTCGAGCAATGTCTTCACAACTCTCACGGCAGCCGATTCTAAGCACAGGAGTTGATCCGGATTTTATCCGGCCAAGGGCTGTCACCCTTTCGGCGACCTAACCCAGTTTAGGTCAACAGCTATCCTCACATAACTTAGGTCTGGATATTGTAGCAGATTAAACTCCAACTTATCTAGACTAGACCCAGCAAACCTAACGTATGCCCGGCATGTGGAGAGTTTCCGCACGACATTAACCATCTCTTCACATGCCGCACCAACCGCGTCGAAACAACTCGTTTCGTGGACCTCGGATTAGATGACCTCGGCGACTTAGATTGATCAAACCTGTGCCTAAGCGGGGTTAGCGAACCGCTACAACAACAACAATATCTAATTCTTCGTCTGAAATTAAGAAGAAGAAGTTGACAAAAATATTTTATTTTATTTTATTTTATTTTATTTTATTTTATTTTATTTTATTTTATTTTATTTTATTTTATTTTATTTTATTTTATTTTATTTTATTGTACTTTATTTTATTTTTATTTTATTTTATTTTATTTTTTTTATTTTTTTATTTTTTAATATTATTTTATTTCATGTTAATTTAATATAGTTTGTTTTATTTTATGGTGTTATATATAATTTAATTTATTGTTTTATGTAATATTTTATATTACTTTTGTATTATTTTCAAATTATTTTAGTTTATTTTATTATAATTCGTTTTATTAGTTGTTTGGTTTTTTTTGTTTATTGAAACTTTTTTATGACGTAGTTAAACCAATTTAACTAGCATTTTAATGAAATTTTCTTCTTTAATACGAAAAAGATGGCATTAAATTAGTCTTCGTGGCCTCATTAGTTGCAGGAAATCAATGGCTGCGCATTAAATACACACATACATACGAATTTATGCTCGCACTTTAATAGCAATTAAACTAAAAATTAAATGTGCTGTTAAATACGTGTACGCGCAATTACCGTTAAGTGAGTGCCACTTACACACACGCTCGTCGGTCGCTGCAAACATGGACAATGAAAAAATTTGTCCAATGACCGGGATACAAGTATAAAAATATATGTGTATGCTTACAGCGGCAGGTATAATGTGGTAGAGTAAAAAGTGTAAAAAAAAGTATAAAATAAAATAAAATTAATTTCAAAAGCTCTCGGTAAAGTCAGGTTGTTGTTGTCGTGTACGTGCGGAAATCGGAAAAGGAAATACGAACACTTGCATGTGCTTTTTTGTGTTCAGGTGTCTCTTGGTGTTGAAGTGTTTTTGTATATATAGATGTGTGTGTGTGTGTTTGTGTGTATGTGTGCGGCAGAACAAGTCGTAAATTGAACACAATGAACCACAATTTCGTTGGGTGAAAGTGTTAATTACGAACACGTTTTCACGCAGAAGCCGGAAATCTTCATTGTGGCAGTCACTCATGGGAGCACATACATACATACACCAAACGCATTGGAGAGACAAAAGTTTTATTAGATTCATAGGCATATTAGACCGCTTCAGTGGCTTGATGGTACTTTAAGATGATATTGAGGGTTGATTCCAGTAGAAATAATTTTTGTGTGTTCACCGATGTAGATCTTGGACTTGTGACCTAAGCTCTGCATTACAATTTTTCCAGTTTTGCTAAATTATAATGGACCGCAGATCACACTCCTTAGTATTTAGTTTAAGTCCAAACGACTATCGATAACTATCGCTTTGAAGTTGGCGCTCATCTTATATGCATCCTTCTTTCCCACACATTTACATTGAGGTCACAACGTTTCCCAATATATTTAGCCAAAGCGCTTTGAATCGGGGTGCAGTTTCTGTATGTGAGAAGTTTATATCTAAAATAGTTTCATTACTTCTGCCTTGCCTGAAAGCATCAGCTTCTCGTCGAGGTTACTTGTGCCCATTATGCCATTCATTACCTTGTGCGCCACCTCTTTCAAATCACTTGGCATTCATGGTGAATAATTCATTTATGAATAAGCAAATTAATGAATGGCATTAATAAAGATAAATAAGTAAATTAAGTGAAAAGAACTCAGAACGCAATTCAGAGAAAGAGAAAAATGAAATTATTTCATCATAATTTTCTCAATTAAATGAATAGCCAAAACGCTGCTGAATTTCGAGTTAAACAAAAGCATTGTGAAATATAAAAGAAACGCTGCGTACAGTGAGTGAGGAAAGTATATTTACGCTGTTAATTTATTTGCATTTTAATTGAAAGGCATGTACATGGAGGGAAAAATGGCAACGCAGCAATCAATTTTTTAGTTGAAAAAATATTAGTTCGACTTAATAAGAATTAACGGATTAAATCGTTTGCTAAAAAAAAAGAAAACAAAAATTTAGAACGTTATAACAATTTTCCCAGCTATAAATGAAATTTGGCAACACTGCCCTGCCAGAATCCTCAATTCACATCTCATCTCATCTCATCTCATCTCATCTCATCTCATCTCATCTCATCTCATCTCATCTCATCTCATCTCATCTCATCTCATCTCATCTCATCTCATCTCATCTCATCTCATCTCATCTCATCTCATCTCATCTCATCTCCTCATTCCATCTCATCTCATCTCATCTCATCTCATCTCATCTCATCTCATCTCATCTCATCTCATCTCATCTCATCTCATCTCATCTCATCTCATCTCATTTCATCGCACGTACCTACGTAAGTTTGTTTTTCATGGTGCAGTGTGCAATATATGTACATTTATTGAATTTATGAAGTTAAAGTTTGCTTAAAATTTAACTGAGCTTAGTTGTCTTCATTCCTCAGCCAAATTTGCTATTTCAAAGAGAGGCTAAAGAAAAGAGAGAGAGAAACGTGACGAAAGGTCAACACTTTAAAGTTGATTACAAAAGAATACCCACCACAAAGCGTCCCTTTAATTCACAATCTTTGCTGGTATAAAAAGGCGGCAACATTTCGAACTGAATTCCTTAATATTTAGATTTCATGTCCATTTCAGCAATCTTCCACGCTCATTCTTTCCTCCTTTCCATCCTCATCGTCCGGTAATTACCTCTTTTTGTGCTGCCTCGGCTACGTGGATTAAATGTCAGGCAAACCACTGTTTTGCAGCCAGGCTCCGGCTCTATCTCACAATTACATTCGCTATCGTCATCGTCGTAACAGCATTCGGGTCTAATAACGTCAGATTGCACTGAAGTGCTGGAGGTACCAGATTGTACACCATGTGTGTATGATGCAGAAGGTTGTTGACGATCTCGTTGAGAAGAGTTACAGCAGTAATCCTGTTGTGGTTTATGTTGCCGTCGGTTGGAGATCGGTCTAACTTCGTCGCAACGACATTCTGGTTTCGGTCGACGACATCCGGTACCTGAATGGTCTTCGCCGCCATCGCAACAACAACCACGACTGCCGCTGCGAGCTGCTCTTGAGCCACGTCTTCTATTTCGACTATTTCGATTTCCCATTACACAAATCCAGCGGTCGCATTGGGACTCTTTATTTTTTGCGGCTTTCTTGTTTGTTGGATTAAGAGAGAGCGGAAAAATTGTGAAAACAGAAAAAAATTTTGAAACAACTTTTTTTGTACACAAAAACTGAAATTTACGTGTACACGTAAGTGGAAAGAAAATTAAGCAAAAGTCATAAATAAAACTATTAAAAAAGAATTACAGTAAAAATCATTCACCATGGTATTTATGTAAAATAATAATAAAAAAAATAATCAATAATCAGGTGTCGTATTGTATTTGCTTGAATTCTTCTGAGTATTTCTTTCCCTGTGAATTTTGCCCGGTATGAGAATTGGCAACAGTGCTCAGATTATTATGCTGAAGCCAGGAAATTTCGGTTATTATAACTATAATAAAATAAAGTAAGTACTAGGAGTTACTTATTTTAAGAAAATTGGCAACAGTGTGTGGAAATCTTAAGAGCAAAAATAAAGAAAAGAAAAGAAATTGTGCATATATGCCCAGATGAAAAAAGGTAACGTTGCAAAAGCAAAGGTTTAAGATCAACTGCGTAACACAGTCAGAGATTTTCCAAATTCAAAACGGGAATTGGTACTTTTCAAAATTTTCTTGAAGAAATTAAAGATGCCTTCAGCCTTTACAATATATATGCAGCAGTTATGGGCTAAATTTATTTTGATGATGAAAATAGGCAACGTTGGTATGACCGATAAGAAAAAGAACGACATGAATCAGGCATGGTTGCATGATTGCACTGCAGGCAACATTGGCTTATGCAATTTGAAAAATGAAAACTTGAGTTACGTTTTTTCGTGGTGAAAATTGGCAACATTGGTAAGAAAAAAATTACATGAATTTAATTATAAAAAGTAGTTAGCACTGTCACATATATCTTTCGCCAATTTTGAGCTAAATTTTTTAGAACGAAATCTTGCAACGTTGCTAAGTCATGAAGGAAAAACTAATAATTACTGAACAATCCAAACAAAATGTAAAGTTGGTCTGTGGCCTAAAGGAACGAAAATTTTGTAAATGTAAAATTGGCAACATTGCTATTTAAGATAGAAAGTTATGTATGTGCATACATATATAGCGTAAGTTTAGCTACAATATGTATAAAACGTTTTGACAAAAAATTTTCAACTGAGAAAATTGTCAACATTGCTTTGCTTATTCCTGACTCACTTTTACGTGGCAAGTGCTCCCTCGCTGACCCTCCGTAATCGACATCTTCGTCATTACAAATTGGTAATTGGAATGTAATGTTTTTGATGTCAACTTCACAGCCGCAAGGACACTGAGCTTTTCCATAAATGGGGCTACGTTCCTCCTTTCCGCAACTACCGCCAGCATTACTTTCGGCATAATTGCGACTAAAACTGCTGCGCTGACGCCGTTCTTTTGTGTATCGAGTTTCCCGTGTGTTCTTCTCATGCCTTCTTGAAATCGTTTCACCTTCCGTAGGCGACGGAGACCGGCTTCGTTCGTTGTCACACGTACAAGATTGCATCTTCGGTTCGTCCGTACTTTCGTCCGAATCGCAGGTCCAATTTGTTACTTTCTTCTTGGTAGACGATTGATCTTTTTTACTTTTATAAGCATTCGTAGTGTTTGGGTTATCACAAATATATATTATCGGTGGTGGGCAACAACACTGACAACACGTTGGCGGCAATTGAATACACTGTGTTTGATTGCTGGCGCTTTCGTCAGCACACACATAACACACGCACGGGCAGACACAAGGGCATGGACACGGTGAGCACAAATTTTGAAGACCATTAGCCTTCGGCGCTTCCTGACAACAACACGGACAATAAGCTGACGCTGGCATTTGGGCCTCGCCGTTGCCCGGCGGCCTGGGAGTGTGACCACAATTCGGACACGATTCACAACAGCTCGGATAAACTTGACAACACATTGGACATTGCACGTAGTAGATGCCACAGCAAGAGGGTGGAAATTCAGGATATGAGTAACTCATATTTTCTGCAGCTGACGTGTCTTCCGTTGGTGTTTCATCAGACGAGGTTTCTTCCGCTGTTGACTTCTTAGTCGATGACTTTTTATTCGAAGATTTTGAAGGGGGTAAACCTTGTGCAGGTGGAGAGTAGCAAAGAGGAAAACTGGCAATGGTGCTCTCGTTGTCGTTGTTGCTCTTCTCTCCGTCGTTGCTGCTGTCATCCTGATCGTTGTTCAAGTTTACGTCGTTGCATCTGCATTTTGGGAAATTACGCTCATAGTTGTTACTGCTTTTGGTATTCTTTTTGTGTTCACGAGCTTCGTTTTTTGATGACGATCTGCCACGATTATGTGAACGGCTCTTCGCATTGCCCATTGTTGTCAGTCATTTCTCGTTTGTGTGCTCCATGCAAACGGCTCAGCCTTAATACAAACTCAATTTTTTAAACATTAAATAGAACGAAACGAACACTTTTAATTTTTTAACAAATAATTTATATGAAAAAACAAAAGAAAAAAAATAGAAAAACTTTTGACAATTTTTTCGAAAATAGAAATTTTGAAATAGTAATTTTTAGGGGATTCAGAGACAATAAAACTTTTAGAAAGTACATAAGCAGGGTCATCAAAAGTGGGATATCTGAAAGGAACAGTACTTTAACTCGCCTCCTAGTAGATGTTTGTTGTCTGCCCAGAGGTACATAGCCTTCTTCACATGGACCCAACCCCATACCATCTCTTCGTCGAATTTAATGTTGCCTACGACCTAAGGAAAAGGAGTTAACCGTTAACCTAGCTGCAAAAGGTTTCAAGAGTCTTCCCGTGGTAAAGCATGTCTGACGCAAGAGGGGACTAAAATCCAGAGGTTCCTGCAACAGTGAATGATGCCAAGACGCCATGAAACAATATAGCCAATGTCATCTATCCAGAGTCAGTCTTGCCTACAGTGAGTAGGCAGTTGAAAATTAAAGTTCTTCAAAACTCTCAATATTCTCGTCTTTCTGTGACATTCTATCTGGTACCCGCTGAAATGATCACGTAGACAAGGACTCAATACCTGAGTAATATGTATATAAACCCTGAAGCGATTTTCTGCCAAGTTCGTCCTCCAACTTTTGTGATGATCTTCGGGCAAACGAATCCAGTTAATTCCAAGGCCTCTACGAATGGCTGATGAATTTTTATGATCGGCCTTTATTTAATGTACAGAAGTAGTATTCGGGGTGCTTCACATTCAATGACGCAGGTCGGCCGTATTAAGGAAATTAATCGCAAATCATTGGAGTTGTCTTCATCACACCTCCACTTAGTTTTAACCTTAAATAGTATCCAAGTTTTTCTAAGTCTCTCTTCTGGTTTGAGATTTCCTTCTGTCCTGCAAAAATGTCCTAGTTTTTGCTGACTCCCAGCTTTGGGTTGGAATTTCTATTTTTAATATGTTCAAAGCTCAATTTTCTTGAACATAAGCTAAAAAAAAGGGGTCGTCATTAAGTGAGGCTTTTGAGAGCTAGTTTGCTATCTTGAAATATCTGTCACGAAGATGGGAGGATCAGACCATTCGGTGCTTTCTCTCTTAAATTCCATTCTCTTTTCATCTCTCTATAATAGGAATTCAAGTAAGAGATTTCTTTGCGAAAATTGGCAACACGGCTGTGAAAATCGGCAACACAGCCGAGAAAATCGGCAACACAGCCTAGAAATATGGCAAAAAAGTTTCACCAAGGAAATTGATATTTAATAAGAAAAACTCTTACGAAGAAAACCGTTAACATTAAAAACAATAAATTTTTCGCGACGAAAATTGGCAACACAACAGCTAAATCTGGTAACATAAAACTCCTGCGATGGTAACTGATATTTAGTAAAAACATTAGAAGCTACTTGATTCTACACACAAATTGGCTACCCTGCCAAGAAAGCTGGAAAAAACTCGTATTTAAAAAAATTATAAGATTTTTTGAAGGAAGTTAAAAAACAAATTTTCCATCGAAGAAATTTGGAAGCGCTGCCGAGCAATCTGATAAAAACTCTTGCCAAGAAAATTTACAAGACCCATCAATAATCAATTCGTCTTAGAAGAAAGTTGGCAACATTCCGAAAACCAGCAAAGTGGCAAAATGGTTAATGTTTTGATGAAAATTGGCAACGATGCGTATATGGAAGAGAAAATCAGTATCACAGTAAAACTCACGCTCAAAAAATATATGCTAGAATACTGATGCGACAAAAACGAGTGGTTGTTCTTACTAAGGAAATACTCATAGGCAACGTTGCTATGGGAATAAAAAAATGCGAAAGGAGGTAATAGTTTGGCAACTGTAACATGAGTAAAATTTTTATGCGATGATGTTTTTTTTAAGTATTCTTGCATCTATCAGAAAATATTGCTTTTATGAAATAGTGTCCTAAAAATTGGCAACATTGCATTAAGTTTTATTGGAGATTCTGAAACTGAAGTTTGTCCAATTTTGTGCACTTTTTTTTGGAAAAAATATAATTACCAACTTCGTTTGAAAGAAAAAACTTATTGAAAATTGGCAACACTGCTAACAAAAGGAACTATACTACCATTAATACCTCCTTTTCATTTACGGCAAAATATTAAATTTGAAAATATAGTTCATTAGCTTATGAAGATTTTAGCTCAAGAAAGTCTAAAGGCACTTATAAGTAATTACTAAGAAAAAAGTTGTTGAACATTTTTCTCTAAAACCCCTTTGAGTGTTTTTTTTATACAATAAAGACATTTGTATTTTCTTGAGAGTGTTTTGATTTACAAGCATTGGCTAATTTTGCTATTTTAAAAATATTATTTTTAATTTCCATCTGATAAATTCTTAAAGTTCTGCCACTGAAGCCGATCACTTGCGTGAGCCGCAGGAACAGCTATCCGCTTCCCTTTCGGTGCCGCACTCATCATCCGATACAACGACAATCGGTATTACCAACTGTTCGTAGGTTCTACCTCTGTAATAGCTGTTAACTGAACCACAAGTTGACCGTGTACAGGGTCTTTGCGGATCAGCACTTTTGCTGCGGCTGCGGATGGGACGAGAGGAACTTCTTCGCGATCTATCTGTGGCGCTTCTAGGCGAACATTCTGGCCGCTCAATGCTTACACTGCGGCGATGTGGTTCCTGTGATTGTGATCTCCGGCGTGAATTGGCACCAACACTGCGACAGTGTGGGCAATCGCAAGGTTCTTTCTTTCTTATACCGCTTTTGGGCTCATCGTATGGTGGCATATAATTAAAGTTATCGAATAGGCAACTGCTCTCTGCGTAGGGCCGCCATTCGCTTTGTCTGCTAAGTTCACTGGCATCGGATCTGCCCAATGTGTTGGTGCTGCTACCGCGTGAGCTCGCCAATGTACTTGCACTGCCACGATCTCTATGGCGACTGTTAGCGCATCCCATTGCTTTCATACACGTCGCTGTAATGGTTGCGCAGCCGCATGTTTTGAAAGTTGGCAAATTATTTTTTCCTTTTTATTTATTCACAAAATAATTTTTTAAAAATTTTTGTGTTGTTGCCGAAAGTTAAATGTTTTTTTTTACATATTTTTTTTTTTAATTTTATTTTTACAAAGCATTACAAATGTCAGGCGGAGCGGAGCAAAACATATTTTTTCGAAAAGCAAATGCTTACAAATTTTCATAAAAAATCGACAAGCATGTAAAATTGAGGAGAGTCTTGGCTACACTTGTTCGGCTATCCGTAGGGTATTTTTTTTTATCAGAAAAAGGTATGGAGTGAGAGAGTGGGTGAGGAGGAACAAGAGGTAGTGAGAGAAGTGAGAGAATAGAGTAAGGAAATAGAGTGAGAGAGAGAGAAAGAAGGTGAGGAAAGAGGGAGAGTGAGTGAGATTGTGATTGAATAAAGTGAAAGAGAGTGGGAGATTAAGTGGCAGTAGGAGTGGGCAAAGAGAGAGTGATAGAAGTCGGCGGAAGAGTTGTTGACGGAGTACATCTTGAAGAGCCAAATACTTGATTTACAAGGCTTTGTGGTGTGTAATAGAAACACTATTAATGCTTTTGTAGAGCAATTACTTGATACTAAATTCCGACATTCCTCTCAGAAGTGCTTGCATTTAAAAGGCAGACATATGAATCCAAGAGGCAAGGATCAAGGATAAATATTTTCGCAAAGCTGTATGGCGAAACTTTGTTAGAAATATTTGGACCTTCAACTTGGCGTCTGGTGTATTTTTTATAAGTGCTTTTCTTTCCAGCCAGAAATACATTGGAAGTGTATGAAATTCGCTGCCGAGGGGGGAAAAATTAATTTTCTACTATTCTTAATATTTGTCAATCCAGTTTTTGAACACGGGCCATCACTACCTGAGTCGGTAATGAACTACCTTAAATACGAAGTACGTGCCAGAGGGATAGATAATGGTTGGTCCATGATGTTTCTCAAACTCCAGAGCCTTAAATTGTGGAGCTCCTATGTTGCCTCGGATCACCTTAAGAAAAACCCGGTAAATGACGTTTTCTAACAAATTTTTATATAAGGAAAATTGAAGTTGGGTTCACATCTCCTACTAAATTTTTTATCAAGGAACACATGGAAATGAACGAATTCTCTCTTACAGGTATGAACTACAGTTTCTCATTAAATCAAGAGTCTCACTAAACGTCTAAGCAAATAACTAAATCTCGAGGAAGCTTACAATCCAGTTCTCGGATAGGCGCATGAGGGTGGGTAGCAATATTTCAATGGTTGACAGCAGCAGGGACAATCCTGACCAAAGCAAGGTGCTGGTTCGCAGCAACAGGGTGGGCCACACGTTGTTGTGTGACAACATGGCGGCGAAGGGCAACAACAGTATGGAGATTTTTGCGTTGCATCATAAACACTCATAGGCTCGGGCGCCTGCATTTCACAGCATTTATAAAGTGGAAAACAGCATGTCGGCGGATCACAGCAACAATATTGCTTCTGCTTAGCACGCCGTTGCTCTTGAAGACGCTTTTGGAGCGCAATTTGGAGTTCGGCACGTCTTTGTATACGGTCGGCTAGCTCCTCCGCCAATTTGCGACGCTTCATATCTTCATCCTGTTGGTGTGCGGCGCTGTAGGCGAACTCTTCATGACACTTACAGCACTTCGTTAACGGTACGCCTTTAGTTTTCTTACAACGACAATAGGTTTGACATTCCTTTTCGGATTTGGAGCGACTTCGTCTGCGTACATAGCTGCGTCGTCTGTCGCCGTCACTAGCGTTGGACTTTTTGCGCTGTCTATTGCTGTGTGACTTACGCTCTGCGCTGCGTCCTGTTATGCGTTCTGTGCTGTGCATTTTATGTGCTGAATCGCTCTCGCTTTCGGTGCGTTCGTCGCTATGTTTTTCAGTCGACGCTGTTGGGTTGTCTTTTTTGCATGGGCAACAGGGTTTGAGATCTTTCTCAGCGTCATCTTCGCTGCTTCTGCAGCAGCTTTTTTGTTTCAATTTTTCTCTCTTGTGTCCTTCTTTATTGAACTGTGTTGCTGCGATAGCGTAAGCATCCTTTGGCTCCCACTTAGCTTGGCTACTCTTTACTCGTTCGTGTTCGGTTTCACTTTCGGTACTTCTGCGCGCTCTTGCTACGTATTCTTTGTGGCGCGGTTCGTGATCGTGAGTTAACCTATTATCAAAGTTCTTATCTTTCTTCTCGGATATTGTGCGTTGATCAACATCTGTCCAGTCTGTCATCGTGGCCTTGTCACAGTCACAACATCTGCAATCTTCTTCTTGTGAGCTGCTCTCAATTGCGCTTTCGGTGCTCACTCTGCGGTTGGCTCTCCCGGCTCGCAACTCTTCACTCTCTATGCGGCCAGACGGCTGCTCTCTTTTTGGTTTCGTTGACTCACTCTTGAGGTCATCTGGTGATCGCGGTGATAGATTTGTCTCCTTCACAATTACTTCTTCTTCGTGTGCAATTTCTAATTCCCCTAATTCCTTCGTGCCACATGAGCAACACTTACAGTCCTTTTCGTCTGCCGTAAGTGTGGATAATCGCAGTTTCTCGTGCCTTTGTCTGTTTTGTTTTGCATCAGATGACCTACGGGCAGTGTTATTTGGCGGTTGTCTGCCTTGCGGCTTTTTGGGTGCATGCCGAGGAGTGTCTTGAGTTGTTGAGACTACGGTTTGTACTTGGAGCTCTACGTCCGATAGCGAGAAGGCGTCCTGATCCGTGAATTCTCTGGAGTCTTTTTCATTCCGGCGACGGGATCGTTTACCGCTTTCGGGATCGATTTGTTCACTATCGTGCAACCTTCGTCGTGTTTCTGGTAAATACTTTTCAAGCTCTCTTTGCTCGTCTGCAAAGAGCTCATCGTATTCTGCTCTTGATTTCCTACGCTCGTCTATTTCTGCTGCCCATTCAGCGTTTTCCACTCTTTCGCCTTCGTCCTCATCTTCTCCTTCTTCTACATCATCGTCTATGTCATCTTCTGTTTCATTTTCCCCTTTTTCCAAATCTTTTCTTCCTAAATATTTTTCTTCGTTTTTTCTCTGGCTTTCTGTTTCTAATTCCTCATCCTCTTGCCACTGCGGCTTTGGCAGCACGTCTTTGCTACACAGACAGTATTGGCCATGTCCTCGCCCACTTTTCCGGCGTTGAGCGCAATATTCACGCACAGCTATTGCTATTGCCTGAGCTTGGCTCAACTCTGCCTCATGCAGACGTCCAACTCTGCCATCGTACAACACACACTGACAGCCCGCATTTGAATGACCCACTTTTTGTAATCCGTTTCGTCGTTCTATTACCAGTGCAGGTTGCGCTGATGATTTGTTGCCCCCACAACGGCAATCGGGGTTACAGCCAAGACGTGTCGCTGTAAGCGAAGGCGAATCGTCCTTACGTGTATATGCATGAGTAGAGTCTGTTAACGACGCCGTCTCAGATGCGTTTCCCGCTGACTCACATGCAGATGCGCTGCTTACCTGCCGATTACTTTGCGATGGGCGCCGATTGATTTGTGTTGGCGCTCTGCCGATTTTCTTTTCACGAAACACCTTTTCGACCTCTTCGAATTGTTCTTCGGGCGTTAAGGCGTCCACTGAGTATCTTTGGCCATTGAGCGCAGTGTAGCATTGGTACTCATTGTTCTTGTTCACTCTCGGCTTGCTTGGTGACTCCACGTGTTTATTCGGAAATTTGTGATAGTCATTTTTATGATGCAACGACCGTTTCTTTGTCGCATCACGGGTCGGGTTGCTGCTTTTGCGGTTATGATTCTTCGAGTCCGAAGATCTGCAGCTAACTCTGGTGCGTACGACGGCATTGAGACTATCTGGTTTGGCGAGTTCATCACACGAGCAGCGCTTTGCCTCTACGCGACTTTTGCCCACACCCATCTCTTGGACCTGCTGGACTCAGTCACATGGCAAACGTAGGACAAACAATGCACAGTCCACCGCAATCGCGTTTTTTTGTGAAGTCTGACGAATTTTTGTGTACAAAAAATTTTGAAAAAATCAGACAAAAATTCAATTCTATGGCAAAACAAAATCAATTTACATTTTTTTTTGCTTGAAGTGGAAAGAAAGAAATATCGAAATATTGGGCTTCAAAGATGTCCTTGCCAAACTAACAGGGTTGCGATTTGAGAGGCAGAAAATATTAAAGGCTCTAAGCTCCTTTTGTTATTTTTATTGACAAGTCCCAAGCCCAGCGCAAGTATATTTTGGAACACAAGATCGTCACTCGCAAACAGTCAAACCTCTGGTGAACAGACGTCGCAATAAGACTTCAGTGAGCCCTGAAACCCTTAGTATGTTGGAGTGCCTCTACTGGAACTCCCTTTCTTTTAATCATAGCAGTAAGCTTCCTCAAGGCTTACTCAAATTTGAAATATTTGGGACAAGTAGAGCCTTGCAACTATAACTACAATACTTACCCATAAGCAACACTACAATACTGGGTATTTTGCAAGGTCTCACTAATGTCGGAATAAGCTGCGGACAGTTCACTGGGAGTTAGAGAGCAGTGGCAAACAGAAATGATCTTAAGGTTTTAAGCCCCCAACCAAACAAATGAAACTACAACCTGCAGCGAATCCATGCAAACCAAGAAAAAATGAGACGAGAAGAGAGCACCCTTACAAATAGTGTATCTACATAGACTAGACTAGTAAGAGTCCCGAGGGGCCACAGTTAAAGATGCACAGAGGCGCTCCTTATGGGAAATGCTACACAAACTACGAGGATGGTGAGCAGCAAGAAACGATCAACCATCTTCTATCCAATAGTCTTGTTTTGGGAGCTTTATTTCAAGTCAGAAGTACGCTCGGTGAGGTGGCCATTCCCTGCCGAGGGGCGACCGCAATTAAAAAATTCAACTCAATTTTTTATTTAAATTAATTTTCTTTAACTTTGATGTTTATTAAAGCTTCGAAATGGTTGGATAGCGGCTAATGCTCAAGATTTCGCGACATCACTATGGGTGTTATTTAAGCCTAAGTGAATTCATTGCGAAAGATCGGTAGCCGTCACAAGCTAAACTAGCCTAAATACAACACAGAACCTTGTACAAATGGCTCCGGCTACAAACTAAAATATCCGGCTTGAAGGTTATAAGTACTTGATAAAAGAAAATTGAGAACACTGCCAAAATAGTTCTGGAAGAACCGGAAAAGCAGAGAGGATATCCGTAATGGTTTTAGATTTTCAGTCTCACAAAGTTTTCAAGTCACAGCCAGGTGGAACTTACTCTTCTGGAAGGATATATATATTATTTGAGTAGAAGATATCTTGTGCAGATCAGCTGAATATATGTGTTTCAGACCTTCATTGGGATCTACGATTCAAAGGGTTAATTGAAGCTGTGATCGCCACCGATATTGACGCCATAAAAGTTTTGGCCACTTCTTAGACAGTGTGTTTTGAGAAGGTCATGGCATTATAGGTTTATTGGAGACTTTACAAATGATTTGGGGTTCACCTCGTTGCTGCAAAAGGATCTACGGTGCTATTGGGAAAAATCGGTAGTTCAATGTTAGACTTAAGAGAATAAGGGGTTTATATTACTTGCTCACTTGATGATTGTCACTCAAATGCAACATGTACGTTGTCTTTGTTTACTGAAACCTCGTTATGGAGTCGCTTTGGAAGCGTGGGATGTACGACCTGAAGAACAACAGACGGTTTGAAGCAGTATCACACAGTGTAGTCATTCCACAACGCGCTGAAAGTGACAGAGTATCAAGTAAAGCTCGATTGTTGTGAGAATTCTCCATTCTGTTGACCTGTGACGGTACTAGGATAGCTATGGAAAGTATTGAGCACCCGGTGGGGGTCTGAGCAGAGTTAAGCCTCCGGTCTTAGGCTAACCTTTGGGCTGCCATTGAGTAGCTGTGGCTAAATTGAGATCGGTTATCAAAGAATGATGGAGAAGAAATTATCTGAATGTAAGAAGTTCTCTGCGTTAGATACTCTGGTGTTCTCTTTGACTTTGACAAACGAAGTGTCAAGCCAGAAAAGTAAGCAATAATTGGAACCACTTGAGGACGAAGTATAAGTTTCGTTCTTCTCAGAAATGGAAATTCCAAGGTTTTTAATAAATTCTTCTTTAATTTAATTTAAAGCAAAAAAAATATTTTCTTTTCATATTTTTTTAGCCTCCAACCTACCACCGCCTACAGATATATGCGACTACATACATATATGCATAAATATGTACACACCTTTACATATGTATGTTTATGTAATCTTCAAATTCGTACAAATTAATTTCAACAAAATTAAAACTTTTTTAAAACGCCTGTCATTTGGCGCTTTTGTTGTCTTCACCGCTCTTGGCCTCTATTGCCCTGTTGCGTTTGCTTACTTCCTTAAGCCCTCTTTTACAGGCGCCTACAAGTAAATCACTAAAAGCGAGCAGACACAATTTTCGTAGGCTGCTTAAACGAGTAAACTTTTTAATTTCAATCGAATTCTGAAAATGTCTTTCAGTTGCGAGTTAAGAACGGACGGTTGGAGTAACTTTTTTTCCGCTCAATAAAAAGTTTGCATTGCAGGCTTTGGCAGTGAGGCAGTTGAGGATAAAAATTCACTTGCGAATTATTGTTTATGGCGTTGTGTGTATACATATACATATATATATGTATATGTAAAAGTATATTAAGGAGAGAAACAGTTTACGAACATCGCAGTTAAATTTTAATTCCTCAAGCGAATATTCGTGGAGAAGGAATAAACAAGAAACACCTTTATGAGTAAGAAGAAATGCTGAAGAAGAAGTGGAGGGGGAAGAAACGGTTTGGCAAGGAAGACTAATGCTCAGTAGTAACAGCCTGAAGGACTAAGACTACGAGCGTGTAAAGGTTTTCAGGTCATTTGGCCTTCAGCGTTTCATCCAGCTGTCACAGTCAGGGCACACTCAGATTACTACAGAAACAAATAATTGCGCTGGGTTATGCACTTAATTGTATGTAGGCAGATAAGTAAGAACCAGTTGGACCTTCATAGGCTACTAAAGAATTATATTTATTTAGAGCAAAAAGAAATTACTTCGTTTTGTCCGTCAAATGAAAAAATATTAAATTTGCCTGGGCGAGTAAAGTGGGACCTTTCAAATAATATTTTTCATATAAACTAATATAACAACAAAAGCTCCATGTGAGAAATATGCTGAACAAAGTAGCGGGTACTGCATTGAAGACTTTCCAAGCGGTAGAGTTTTCATCGTCCCCTCAGTGGAGTTGACGTCTCTTAATTCGCTGAACTATGTGGGCAATAGCTGAGGGTTTAGCATTGCGTACGGCGATTAGGATGCCAGAGTCCGAGTCCTGATTCACAATATTTAGAAAATAAATTTGTCTAACTGCGGTCACCCCTTGGTAGCAAAGGTTGGGCCCTTCGATTATATTTCTTAAAATAAAAGCTCAACCCAAAAGTCTCTCGGGAAAAAAATTAAGACGCAAAACCACAAATTGGAAGAGGAGCTCCGCCGAAAACCGCTTCGACAAAGCGCCAATTTTATATATATATTATATGAAAAAGCTGTCGTAAGATATCGACGTCACCAGCGTCTCAGCTATTACGAAGATAAACTGAAAATTGTCTACATCCAAGTCTTTGCATCATAAATTAGAAATAGAGTAACGAACCACTTGAATTTTTTTTTTATCGAAATAGGCCTCAACCGAGAGTAACAGATTTTTACGTGGTTTGCCAGCTACAGTCGCCGGGCTACATTCAATTCCTACTCTTGCATTCACCCTGAAAACGTGATCAATCCTATTCAAGATGCAGTAACCAACCTGCATGGAGCCTTGGGTCATATAAGGGATAAATTATAGAAAACTGTCAATTCTCACAATAGCAGCTGCGAGTGGGCAGCAAGCAAGCGACGTGTTATATACATAAATGTGCCTTAGGCTGCAACTACCCAACGAGCGTACCAGCCGTCCATAGTAACCTATCTTATGAGAGCACCATGTAAACACAAAGTTGTCACCGATTTACCATAGCGTTGCTGACGTTTGTGTCGCAGAAACCAACGAAGTTTTGATTTTTCCGTAAAACCGGCTCGGCTCATTTTTCGTTGCTATACAAGGTTGCCAGTATAGCCTTTCTTAAAGTAAGTAACATTAAATAATCGAAAATAATGCGTAGTTTTGTTCAAAAGAAATGAAAAATAAATGCGTAACTAATTATTTGTTACCATATAGATTATGTATATTTGCCTTGTGTTTATGTTAAAGCAAATAAATTATGAAATTCGTTGACGAAAATTATGAATTTGTTCAAAAGTGTGCAAACACACAGGCAGCTGGCAACATTTCGCCGCTCTCAGCGGCGTCGATAGCTCGTGTATGTATTTCACTACTAACGTCGTCAGTTATGGACGGCTGGAGAGTGAGTTGGGTAGTTGCAGCCTTAAACATCTCGCGAAACGACTTGTGTGTTGATCTCGGGGCCTACAACGTGAAAATTAGCTGGTAGAAAAAAAATGAAACAGAGCATCCTTATCTCAGAAACTGTCGCTGCTCAAGCTGGTTGATGTACTCAATAAAAAGAATGCTGACTTCATCGCCAATCAGATAAGCGGAAAATGGTCTGACTTTGACTTTTATTGGAATAACAGCGCTAGTTGGAGTTTGATTTTTGGTGGGCAAGAGAGACTCAGTCAGCGAATTCTATCGTTCACTCTGGCGGCCGAACGTCTCCTCACAATTCGCATCAAAGTAGAGTTCTTCAATGTATCACTGATCTACGCTCACGCTCCGATAGCAGAGCAGGTCGATGTGAGCAAAGATGCTCTCTACGAGCGCTTGGAATGCACATACGAGTTATGCAACCGTCACAGCGTGAAAACTATGCTTAGTGAATTTAATATCAGGACAGTCAAAGAA